TTGTCTAAACTGACAGATATGCTCTTTATCCTGGAGTCTGTGCCTCCTTTGGAACAAGCAGCTGCATATACCAATATAGGCTCTCATTCATGTGCATCAGGCCTCAGTGAATTTAAAAACTGGCCATTTTATTAGGCATATAAGAATATAGGAACATAAGAATAGAAGGATCTTGGCCTAGTCCACTCTCCTGCATTTGCAGGCCATAGTTACAGCAAGGAATCCCCCAAATCACCACTTTAATATTCACATACAACTACAGGGCACAATCCCTGAAACAACAAGAACACCCTATAACATTCTGTAGGTAAAAACAGAGGAAGTGAGGGCATTGCAAAGCCATACCACTAAACTGAGAAGCAGTTAGTTGGTTAATATATGCTCAGAGAATCCTAGAACTGTGCCCCAAGCTACATGAGAAGACCAAAACCCACACAGTTCATGCCAATCTGACCTATAGAAAAAAAATCCTTCCTGAAGCCAGATTTGGAAGTTAGTGGGTGCATCTACATATGCAATTTAACATGCATAAATAAACTCCAGAGCTTATTGCTCCAGAGTTTTTTCATGAACAGCACATGGAGCCCAGCTGGACCAGCCTAGGATGACAGAGGAACCAGGAGGTCAGCCTGCCAGCCTGCCACTGCTCCCCCTAGCTCCACAGGCTGCAGAGAGGCTGGCTGAAGCATGAGGGTGCTTCAATGTGGGGCTAGCTGGCAGGCAGCCCCCACACTGAATCACCCTTATGCCCCAGCCCCCCACCCCACAAAAACATGTGGAGCCCCACCTAAGCAACTAGCCCAGGGCTGCTCCAATAGGGCTGCATTTGCAGCAGAGGGCTGGCTGAGGCACAACAGAGCTTTAACGCGGGGCCAGCCCCTGGGCTGAAGCACCCTCATACCTCAGCCAGCCCCCGCTGCTGCATGTGGAGCCAGGGGGAGCAGCCAGCCCAGGGCTGCTCCCCCTGGCTCCACATGCTGCTGAGCAGCTGGCTGGGTCACAAGGGTGCTTCAGCCAGGCACCCTTGTCTAAATGTGCACTACTGTGCATGGAAAACTTCACAGCAGTATAGTACTCTTGTTTTACAAGACCATTCTGCTGTGGGGTTTATTCATTTTGCGCACCCTAATAGGGGCGCACACAGGGTTCGAATTACGAGGGAGCTCGGGGGTCTTAGCCCCCCTATAAGAGACAAGAGCCCCCCATAAGAGATGAGAGCTCCCCCCACCCATGGGCTGTTCAGCACCCCTTCTCCCCCCTGCAACAGCTCGGAGCCCATGTGCCACTGCACATAGCCCCTGGCCTGCCCCGTGCCTTTCTAAGCAGCCTAGGTGGCAGTGGTGGCAGCACCTTGCAGCTGCCACCGCCATTGGCCCTAACCCTGCGGTACTGGCTGGGACCCATGCACATAGCCCCGACTCAGCCAATTTTTTGCAGAATGCCTCTGCCCCCTAGAGCTGAAGTGTAATTTGAACCCTGGGTACACATGTAGACATGGAGACATTTACCATGCAGTTTATTGGTCAACTGTGTAGTAAATGTCCCATGTAAAGGTGCTCAATACGACTGAACAGTAGAATAAGCCTTAGCTGTGGCCAGTGTCACAATGCTTCAGAGAAAACATTCTTTCTGGGCCCCCTGAAGCCAAGAGAAATCATAAGGGGGTAAAAAAATTCCATCTTTCTCCCACTAGTAACCATAAACTTATCCAATTCAGTCTTAAAGTGTTTCAGTTACTTTGCCACCTTCACTTTGCTTGAAGGACCATTCTGAAACTTCACTCATCTGACAGCTGGAAACTTATAACTTCTAGCCTAAATTAGAATTGGATCATTTCCAAATCTAAATTTTCTGTAGCCAGTCTGTAGCCATTTGTTCTTGTGCCAGTGTTGTTTCAATATTCAGCTTAAAAAGCTCTTTTTCTTTTCTAATATTCACTCCATGAACATGCTTGCAAAGGATGGCCATACATCTTCTCAATCTCAGTTTCAGTAAGTGAAACAAGCCAAACTCTTTTAATCTTTCATAACAAGATTTCCATTCCCTTAACAGCTTTAATGTCCCTTCTTGGAACCTGCTTAAGTTAATATTTTTTGGATCATTGGCAATCCCAGAACTGCACATAGTATCTTACATAGGGTCTTACAATACTGCTAGTAGTTCCTTGGCTCTACTGCATATGTCCCATCTAATGCACCTTGGGATTGTTGGCATTTTTTCACAGTGGTATCACATTGGCAGCTCATGGTCATATTAGGAGCAGCCAATGCAATAGCTCCCCCTTTTGCTCAGCTGTCTCCTCACTATGCCCCTCTTATACCAAAGTCCTTGTTATTGGTCCCTAAGTGCATGAGCTTGCATTTCATATGGGTAAACATCATTCCATTTCTAATATTCCACGTGTGTATGTGGTGTTCATTTCTGTTCTTTAAATTTTTAATTTTTTTTTTTTTTGGTGGGAGGTTAATTTTGCAGGCTTCTTACAGACAGATATCTTCCTGTTTTGTTTGATGCTGTAAAAAAAATGTACATATATAAGATAATACATTATGTATGCTTAACTAGTTTTTTAAAGACATTTTTAGAATTTTGTATGCATTGAGCAACTAGCACATGGAAGCATATAATAGGGCAGCTGGGTTCTCAGGGCAACAACCACTTCCAGTGTTGCTCGTGCAGTTGTGGTATACTAGTGCATGGCCACAGTGCACAGCAAAAGCAAGGGTTAAAAGCTGCCTGTTCCTATCCTTGTATTCCAAGCTTTTGCAGAAAGGCTCATTAGGAGGCTTTGGATGACAGGCGTTACTGGCATACCACAGGTATTTGGTGAGGTGAGAATCCTCAGTTATACATCATATACTGTCTCTCTCTCCTATACAGATTACTCCTACTATAACAGAAAGCATTAATGAAAAGTTCAGAGTTGGTCTATCTTGTTCAGAGGACAGAGAAATGCTGTTTATGTGTTACACCCATACATGTGGCAATTTGAAATTTAATGCCTTCTACTTTCAGGTGGCAGAATTTGATTTTTTTTTTTTATTTAAAAACTGGAAAAGTATATTCATTTACAAAAACCCATTGAGATGCATTTAGAAAATGCAAATCAAACTGATTTTGCTTTACATACCATATTGTCTCTCACTGGGCGGGTCTACATGATTACTCAACTGTGCTGTAAACGTATTTACTGTACAGTACATGTCTCGGCATCTATATGTGCACCACTATTAGGGCGCACAAAACTCATAAACTCTGCAGCAGGGTTGTACTTGTAAATACTACAGTACTTGTAAATACATGTACTGCCCTGCTGCAGAGGGGGTTTTTTCATGTACAGCAGCACATGTGTAGACACTGCTTGGGCTGGCTGTAGCACAGGCTGCTTCAGTGCAGAGCTCTGGAGTTTTTTGCTCCTGAGTGTACATTCAGATGGTGCACCCAGGAGCAGAAAACTCCAGAGCATATTGTTCTGGAGTTTATTTGTGAGCATTAATCACGTGTGTAAATGCACCCACTATTTACTAAGATGTTATTTATTTAAAGGATGGGATTTCCTTCTGTCCAAATAAATAAAGATATATGAATACATTTATTCCTTTAGCAAAATGAAAGGATAATCATAAAGTGGCAATGTATTTGATGCATTGATCTCACAGTAAGAGAGCAAATGTTATCACTACACAGTTTTACGATTAATAACGTTGATTCCAAAATGAATGCAAAAAAGTAATTCTATTAGTCGTTTAAAAACTGTTGTGAAATAATACATTTTCCTTTCATTTCAGTATCCTGATTTAGCTGTGCTTTGTAGTTCTTATATCTCAATAAAGTAGTGATTCAAACATACATAAATATATAGAGAGAACTGAAAACTTTTATTTTCTGATATGAAATAAATAAATAGTGTGATTAATAGAAATTTTACCAACATAAATAAATTCAGATAATTTACTTAGAATATTTCATCAACTAGAAAAAAAATCAGTCATTGAATACCATCCACTATCCAAGCATTAAATGACTTAAAAACAGGGTGCTTTTAATAGGTAACAAAACATTTATATTTAATATGTAGGTAAAAAACATTCTTGATGTTAAGAACATTGTTAATACTTTTCTGACATAGTTTCATACATCATATATTATGTACAGTATTTTATTATGTAAATTTAATTGCTCTTAGTCTTATATTAGGTGAAATTGATAATGATTCTACAGAAGCATAGGAAAGACTGTGAAAAAATTATTTTTAAAAGATAAAAACCAGTTAGATGGAATTTAGCCTAAAACAGAAATTGATTGAGTTCCGACCAGAGCTTAGATGGTTAGTGGTTTCCTGTGCCAGGAACTACTGTGGAATCCCACCAGGAAGTGTGCTACATGGCAGGATCACATTACACCCTTGTTTTATGGTTCATTTCACTTCTTTAATGCAATTCGAGAACCTGCAAAAAGAAGCAAGTTAAAAAGGAGAAGGCATTGTTATTTTAAAATTTTTATTTCTTTGAATCAGACTATTTGTTTTTACGAAGTACCTAAAGTAATTTAGGAAAAAATCAGTAGCTCTATACATTAGATTATGCAGCCAAAGCAATATTTTCCATGTCTATATGAAAAGTAAAACGTAGAGTTCTTACTTCTTGACAGTTTGGTTTGTCTGCTTTATCAACCCAATAATATGCCACAATGCTAAAGCAACAAATGATAGTAATTTTCTTTTATTACTAAATAATTGTAATGTGTTATAGTGGTTTATTAAAATTATGTAGACTAAAAGGATTGCAGGACTTTTTAGTTTGCCAGCTGATTTACAGAGCATGAGAAAACATTCCAGAATCTTTAGAAAGTGTGTATGTTACAGCTTGTATTTTGCTTTGATAAAGCTGCTTTATTAAGAAAGAAAATGTTTATAATGCTAACTAGATAATGATTCATCAGTCCTGGCAGAGAAACTAATTTTTGTTAACATAGTACTTAAAAATGTGTGGAATGAACAGCTGGATACCACAGTTGTGGCATGCCATATTAAGGCTCTGTCTGTTTTCCCCTACAGTGATCTCAGTATGAACAACATCTCTAAGCTGCCCTCAAACCCCCTGCACAATCTCCGCTTCCTGGAAGAGCTGTAAGTATCATTGTATCTTTGATGGGCATAGTCAGCACTAGACACATTCCTGTGTTTGTCTCTGATACTTACTGTGGGAACCAGATAAAACAGTTCAGGAAAGCTGTCAGCCCTGACACTTTTGGCACATGCGGAAACACTTAGTTGAAAAAACCAATTGCTTGTGATTCTGGAAATGAACTTATAAAAGAGTTACCATGAGGCTACAACTTCTCTAAGCCAAGACAGAGCCAAACAAATTAAAATTTTTAAACAAGGGCTGTTTAAAAAAGCTGGATTGCTTTTTGGAAATAGTTAAGCAGCAGGATATTAAAAGTTTGAATACTGGCTCATGTTTATTAAAATAGCAAGTAAAGCTATAATCAAAACCAAAACCTGCTGCTTGGTTCTGCCTGTGTCAAGGACAACTGAGTCTACATTTCATAGCATGAAGTCTCCTTGTCCTCATCACTTTTAATTACTTTTCCCTTACACTTAAATTTATCCTCCCTCAAGGCTGAGTGTAAAACACAGAATCCTACAAAAAGCTTAGTGTGCCATCCAATACTCTCTGTAAAAGAAAGAAAATGTATACAGCACAAACTAGCTCATCAGACATAGAATTGGACAGATTATGCCAGGTAGAAGTGATAATGACCTAACCAGAAATGGAAGGTACTATGCACACCTGTGACCTGAACATTGTAGCATTCCTAGTGAACATGTCTTAAGCTTAAAAGTAAACTCCAAATTCTCCCTTAGAGTGATCGATACTCAGTAGCTGATGTGCCATAGAACCTGAGGAAAAAATGCTGCACTTGGATTAAAAAAATCAAGAAGTGGATTAAAGGAACTGTTTAGCATCAACCTCTAAAAAAAACATGTTCTTTTATAAGCCCCTAAACTGTAGGCCCCCTTTATTTCAGGCATTTTAGCAGCTAGCACATCATAAAACCCACAAGGGACATGCAAAATTATGGTGGTGCCTCCACACAAAAACATATTATAACCAGGGGTCGGCAATGTTTTTGGGCAGAGTGCCAAAAACACCTACAACCTCTACTTGTTAGATGTTGGCATGGCAGGGGAGCCACGAGGGACCCAATCCTTGTTGTGGCAGTGTAGCCCCCCTCCCCCTGCCCAAAGGCATATGCACCAAGCAAAATGCCTTTGCGTGCCTTGCTCTGGCACGCATGCCAGGGATTGTCTACCCCTGTTATAACCTAATTCATCTCGTCCCTCCCAACTCTGTTAACTGCATTTCAGTTTTGTTAACTACATAACCCATTGTCCTAAATAATTCTACCCCTTTCTTTCTGAAAATACTGTTCACATATTAATTCTGCTATCACATTCCGATTCTTGTATCCAAGCTACATCCAAGTTAACGCTCTTATTCTGTGCATATATACCAGTCCTGATAGCCCTTCATTTTGGTGTTACTCTTTTCTGCCTTTCTGTCCCCCTCTCCCCTGCCTATGTTCTGCTATGAGTATTTCCCATGCTTCTTGGCTTTGCTGGTTGCCACCTGGGACTGGGAGGGGATTTTTCCCTTCCTACTGCTACATGTGTCAGGGGTTTGTTATAAGCCTTCCTCATAAGCTTTGTGTTTTGGCTGCAGCCAAGGCTAAAGATTTTGACTATGGTGTACTGATGCTCTTACTGGGACTTAAACGTAGAGGTGCCTGTGCCTGTGTAGAAGGTCCTTCCTCTGCACTGACAGTCAAACCAATTGCCGTATTTGGGGTCAGGAAGGAATTTTACCCCACGGTCAGATTGGTACAGGCCATGAGAGGTTTTGCCTATCTCTGTAGCACAGGGTTGCAACAGTCTGTCAATTTGAGGTCATTCTCGTCAGCCATATTTGGACCTGCAGATAGAACAATCATGGAAGACAATCATCCTTGACTGCCAGGGATTGCCAAAGATGTAGCACAGAGAGTGGCCCTCTTCCTTGGATCTCTCAAGCATATTTTAACAACCTTTGAAGCAGCAGGACATTGGCCTCTACAGCCCCCCTGCTTTACCTGTGGCAGATTAGGATGTTATGTTAAAGAGAAAAGGTGTTTTCCTTCTTCTATATGGCAGTCCTTCAGTACTTGAAGACTGCTATCATGTCCCATCTTCAATGCCTTTTTCATATACCTGAACATGTCCTTCAACCTCTCTGCATATGGCTTGCTTTTTAATCTCTTTATTATTTTGGTTGACTGCCTATGGACCCTCTCTAGGTTTTCCATGTCTTTTTTAAAATGTGGAGCCCCAAACTATATGCAGTACTCTAAGTGGAAGCCTAACCAATTCCAAGTGGAGGCACTATTACCTGCCATGCCTTGTACCTAATTCCTCTATTGATGCAGCATAAAGCTGCATTTGTCTTTTGTGTAGCTGAACGCCTTCTCTTCCTCCTGAAAAAGCATAGGCTCAGGGGTGATCTGATGGCCACCTATAAGTTTATCAGAGGTGTTCACCAGGATCTGGGGGGAACAATTGTTCACCAGAGCCCCCCAAGGGATGACAAGGTTGAACGGTTATAAACTCCTGCAAGCCCATTTCAGGCTGGACATAAGGAAGAATTTCTTTACTGTCTGAGCCCCCAAGGTCTGGAATAGCCTGCCATCGGAGGTGGTTCAAGCACCTACTCTGAAAACCTTCAAGAAAAAATTGGATGTTTATCTTACTGGGATCCTGTAACCCCACTTGACTTCCTGCCCCTGGGGCAGGGGGGCTGGACTCTATGATCTTCCAAGGTCCCTTTCAGCCCTAATGTCTGTGAAATCTGTAGCTGCATCACACTGCAGACTCATTAAATTTGTGATCCACCAGGACTACAAGATCTTTTTCCATTGAGCTGCCATCCAGCCAGATTTCACACATCTTGTATTTGTATTTTTGCTTATTTTTTCTGAGGTATAGCACCTACCATTTGTCAGCACTGAACTTTATCCTGTTGGCTCCAGCCCAATTTTCTAATCTGCCAAGATCCTTATGAATTGTACTTTTGTCCCACAATGTGTTCACAATCCTTCCCAGTTTAATGTTGTCTGCATATTTGTTCAAGAAACTCTCTTTGCAAGCATCCAAATCATTAGTAAACACATTGAACAGCATTGGGGCAAGACAGATCCCTGTGGGACTCCACTCGAAACCTGCTGCCATTCTGACATGCATCCATTTATAATTACCCTTTGCTTGTGGCTATTGAGCTAGCTGTCTCACTATACTACCTTATGGTAGTTTCGTCTGTCCCTCATTTCTCTAACAGCATTCCCTTCATCCATCCAACTAGTTATCCTGTTGAAGAAGGAGATCAAGTTTTTTGTAGGGTTGCCAACTGTCCATAAATTTATGGAGGGTCAGTAAAAAGTCTAAGCAGTCAATGCTGACTGAAGCTGTGTGGTAGGAAAGAAGCTGGATACAGTGTTGAAGCACAGACAGAGCACAGTAGTGCCACCTGGTGTCCAAGTTGAAGCACACAACTCTGCAGCGAGATCTTATCAGGCCTTTATAGACCTTCTTGCTCCTTGGCCATGTGCTGCTGCCGCTGTTGAATCCTGTCAGCTGCCTATAGTACTGTTGGGGCATCTGTGCCCCTTTTTGGGGATCTGTGCCAAGACTGGGGGAGTGGGACTGGAAGGGGTAAGGGTAGGATGTATGTTGGTGGAGTAGGGCAATATGGTAGAGGGTGTGGTTGGGGGCATCAGGGTGGGGGGGTGAGTAGGGGACCCCAGGGAGGGGGCAGCATGGTATAAAACCATTGCTTCAGTCAGTCAGGATTGTCAATCCAAGAGAATTTTTTTTACTGCAAACTTTGTATTGACAACCAAACTTAAACCCCCCCCCCCACCTGTTTAACAGCAACCCTGTTAAAATAATATTTAAACTCCTTACATTTGAAGCTAACCCTTCGAACGGGGACCTAGCAGAAGGGTAAGAGAGTTATATTTATATAATGTAAAAAATATATCGGTAAAAATATGTGTCATTAAAATGTTTGGTTGTCAGTAAAAAGTTTGCAGATTATCAGGAAAAAAAATTCTTGGGTTGGCAATCTTGTTTGTTGGGCATGATTTGTTCATAGTAAATCTATGCTGTCTGCTTGTGATCAGGCTTTCCTTCTCCAGATACTTGCAAATGGACTTCTTTATGATATGCTCCTGTAATTTCCCAGGAATCAAAGTGAGACTAACTGGTCTGTAGTTTCCAAGTTTCTTCTTTTAGCCTTTTTTTAAAGAGGGGCACTAGGCCCGTTTCCAGTCCTCTGGTACCTTGCCTGTCTCCCATGACTCTGTAAATATTATTGCCGAAGGCTCCGAGATCTCCTCTGTCTGTTCCTTCAGGACCTGGAATGAAGTTCATCAGGGGCTACTGACTTGAATTTGTTCAGACCCATCAAAAGCTCTCCGATAGTTTCTTTTGTTAAGTCATCCCTCACCTTATCCCCTTCCTTACCAAAATAATGCTTTTGAGCTATCTGGTTGCAGCCTAATTTTTATGAACACTGAGGTGAAGTCATTGTTGACCAAATCTGCTGCTTTTGCATTTTCTGTTAAGAGTTTGTCCTATTAAAAGTTTTTTGGTGAACCAACAGCTTCCTTGGTTTTTCTTTTCTGGCCAACATATTTTTGTTGTCCTTGACTTGCCTTGCAAGGTGAAGTTCATTTTTTTTTACTTTTGCCCATCTTATTCATAGATGTTAGGGTCAGAAGAGACCTCAATAGATCTAGTCCAACCCCCTGCATAGGCAGGAAAGAGT